TTTGATTTTCAAAGACCAAAATGAAAATGTTCATTGAATGGAAAAAAAAAATTTGGAACATTTCAAAGGAAACCAATGCTTTCATTAAATAATTACATTTCCTTCTAAAAGCCTTTTTTTTAAGGTAGGGAAAAAAATGATGAAAACGTGTTCTAAATGGAAATGACAGTCTTCTCCACGTCATAACCTGTTCTCATCAGATGCATCCCATTAAAAGATGAATGGCCAGTACATGAAACAAGAAAGAGAAATGTGTGTGTGTTTTTAACACTTCCTTCTTTCTTTTCATGTCGCTTTTGTATTTGTTAATAGCTGATTAATTAGATCCTCACAAGAACTTGGAGTGGCTGCGTCTGTTTAAAAGAATAAAGTAAGCTCAGTAGATGAATGTAAAAAAATGGGTACTTCAGAGAGAGTACTGTAATTATCATCCTTAATAGTAAGCACCTTTAGTAGCATTAAACCCACAGAGCGGCAGTAATTCAATAATTTCTAAAGTGAAGTCTCAGTAAACACTGTTGGGTCTGATGTGACCAGCGCTTACATCACACCAGGGGCAATAAGCAGGCTTGCAGCTGTGTCACTAATAAATTAATCCATTAAAAGAGATGGATATAAGAGACGTACCTGATAGGTAATAGGTAAAAGATAGTTTAAGGTTTAAAGCTGAAATGCAAGAAACCTACAGGCTAAAATATTTAGCTTAGCCAAATTAGGCCTTAGGAGAAATTTGCTCTAGTATAAAGATAAGTTAGCGTAAGTAAATTAATAGTACACCTGCTAAGCTTGTGTCAATGTTTGTGATAGGCCGATGTTTTGAAAATAACTGCTGAGTTTGGATAATAATGTGTATGAGAGCTCAGTAGACGTCACAAGACGACTCTTAGTAGCTGGGACGAAATGTTAAAAACGTCCCGAAGGTAACTTGCCTGTGACTATTGTGATGAAGTGACGTCAAGGGGAACTAACAAGCTCGCCTTTTGGAAATGGGGAACCCCAAAAGTACTGGGGTGTGGAAGTTCAAATAAAGAAACAGGGATAAAACTTTCATAAACACATGCGAATGTCAATGGGCGTCATTGTAAAAGCTGTATCCTGGCCTGCCTGCCTTGGGAGATATCATGATGGTGACCACTGGTGAGGAAGATGATAGGGGTGGTGAGGATGATGCTGAGGATGATGACTAAATCTCGTTTTTTCCGCAAAGGATGGTATGTGTCGGGCAAATGCTAGACGTTCCATATTGTGCTCTCTCTCCTTTACCAGACTGCAGTGTGTGTATTGTTGTTTGGTTGGTTAAGAATAGCAATAATTGAAGGAAGAGTACCCGTTAATCTCTGTTACGCGTCATTGGGTTCCCCTTCCATTGATAACCTCTGTACTGTAGTTGATCTGGCGGCTGAACTCTCACAGGTTAGAGTAGGTGTAAGCCCTCACCTTGGGGTGGGTAATTAAAGTAACTCATCACTCTACATAAGGCTACAGCTTGACCATCTGCTTTGAGAAGGGAGTCCAGAAGAGAGGGCAAAGCCACACGCCCTGATGTTAACAATCCAAGTGGTAGTGCTGCCTTGATGAGGCAATACATTGGGTTAGAAAGGTCAGATCACAAAGAACCCATATATAGATCTATAATGCCTGTGGCAGGGTGACGACTCACTGCTGCGGCGCCTCCTGCTGGTCACCCTGGGAATTAGCTCTTCCAGCTCAGAGCGCCCTCTGCAGGCCGGTGTCTCGCCTGCCACTGGCCCCTGTGTTCCTCCTGGACCCCTGTGCCTCTTTGTCTTGGGGTGCTGCCCCCTGGCAGTGTCCCCACACTTTGAGTCTCCCCTCCCAGGGGAACCCCCAAACCTCTATCCCCACCTCGCTTCAGTGGCTACTGCCAGTCACCATCTAGCCCCCGCTCACTGAGGCGGACTGCAATCTGTAAACCACTCATCACTGGCAAGGGGGGTTTGGACCTGCTGCCTTTGCCTGCCCTGGGCTGCACCTCTGCAACCCCAATACTATTCCCGGCCTTTAGCAAGGCCCGCAGCCTGGGGGTTTTCCAGGCTGGAGCTCCCCAGCTCCTCTAGCCTCCCCCCAGCCCTGCTCCACCCTAGGTACCCTGCTCAGCTCCCAGGCAGCCAGGCCCTTCTCTCTCAACAGCTAGAGAGAGACTCTGTTTTCCTGACTAGCAGCCCTTTTATAGGGCCTGCTATGGCCCGACTGGGGCGTGGCCTCAGCTGTGGCTGGTTGCCCAATCAACCTAGGCTTTTTCTCAGCCGCAGCCCTCTCCCAGGGCTGCTTTTAACCCCTTTTCTGCAGGAGTGGGGCAGCCGCCCCACTACAATGTCAATGAAGGGCTCCTTGGGGATACCAGAGGCTGTTTGTCCAAGCTCTGAAAGTTTTAGTACAAGCTAGCCACAACACGAAGTCAGACTGGGTTAGCCGCTAGGTCCGCGCTGATGCACTCTCTTCCCGAGAACCAAACCCTCCCAAGGGCCCAGATTGTGCCCACAGTTACAGCCACCCCACCCCACGTAGGGCAGGAGGTTACAGGAGTGTAAGAGAGCACATTTCAGCCCCAAGCGCTCTAGTGGGTCTACTGAGCGATTTCAGCGGTAATACGGTTACACAGAGCCACGCTGTAAAACTGCAAAGACTCAGGCAGGCAAGTTGAAGGTACAATCAGATTAGTCCTTAGGCTCTGCCCAATTGATTAGAACCTAGTATATGCAGCACCAGTTAGAATCAGGCTGGCGCGTCCTCCATAAATCTCCATTAGGAGCTGTAACGTTGCTGTATTGGCTGCATGACGAGGGCTGGCAGACAAGTGCTCAGCACTAAAGTTTTTTTTAAAACACAAACTAGACAGTAGAAGACAGTGACTTCAACGGAGCTAGGACAGTTCACACCAGCTGAGGATCAGCCGCCAAAACCTCAATTATCCTGTGAAGATTCAGGAGACATCTGGAATCTTCCAGAAACTGGGGGTTTGGTTAATTCAGAGACCCCCTAAGTTTCTTGTTTGCTTTGCTTTCGGCTGGCATTTGCACATGGTATCACCTCTCTTCCCTGTATTGGGAACAGGCAACAAGGGTATTCTACATACAAGTATCCCAGAAGACCGGTTCATCCATTATGCATTCTGTTCACTTGGGGCCTGATTCAATACCCATTGACTTCCTGGGGGTTTGGACCAGCCCTAAGCTGTGCCAACATTCGAAAGATATGAAGAAAGACATTTGAGGAGAAAACCAGGAGCACATAACTCCATTGAAACACATGGGACTAGGAGAACTTTTGGAGGGAAACTATGGAGAAGCGGTAAATATTCTGTTATAAAAATAAATTACAATGATGGTTTCTATTCTTTCTGAAGCCAGTGGGAGTGTTAGTGCCAATTTCAATGGTGGAAGGACTGGGCCCTAAACAAGGACCAACTATATTTATCCATGATTCCAGTGTTGCCAACTCTCATAATCTTTTCACAAGTCTCATGATCGCTAATGTTTTTCCTTAAAGCCCCAACTCCTGGATTCTGGTGATTATGTCAGAATCTCTATTTTAATTTTTTTTTAAAGTAAGTTTCTAGTCCTCGGGGATGCAGAAAAAGCCTGAAAAAGAGTTCCTGCCCTTAAAGACACAAAAAACCAGAGGACTAGTAGGAATCCTTCACCCCAACTTTTATTAAGAATCTCATGATTTTTAAGCCATTGTCATGATTTTGGGGCCCTGAGTTATGACTACAATAAGGCACAGTTCTGTTGTGGTTTATTTTACCAGTGAGGGCGATTGACGCCTGGAACAAACTACCCAAAGAAAATTGTGGACTCTCCATCTCTTGAAAATCTCATTAAGACTGGATGCTGTTCTAGAAACAAGTTATGAGGTTCAATACAGGGGTAACTAACTGAATAAATTCTTGGGCCTGTGCTATAAAGCTGGTGAGGTGGTTCCTTCTAGCCTTACATTCACTGATTCTATGATTTTTTGAACACTTGGGGTTGGCAATACTTTATGATGGTGTTTCATAGAATCATAGGACTGGAAGGGCCCTCGAGAGGTCATCTAATCCAGTCCCCTGCACTCGTGGTAGGACTAAGTAGGATCAACTTTGTAGGATCAACCCAATTATCTGCAAAGGAGTCATCATTACTGTGGGCTCAGGGTTGCCAGGTGTCCGGTTTTTGACCGGAAAGTCCGGTTGAAAAGGGAACCTGGCAGTGTTCGGTCAGATGTACTGACCGGACACTAAAAGCCTGGTTACTGCCGGCAGTGGGGGTAGTGGCAGCCTGTTGCCCGGCCCTGAAGTGGCGGCTCCCGCGGCAGCACGCATGCACCAGCTCGGGCCACAGGCGGCCCCTTTGCAGAGCATGGCTTGTGGGGCTGTGGCAGAAGACAGAGTGTGGGGACCCATGGCGAGTGGGGTAAGGGCTCTCAGCAGGCATAGAACGTTCCCCCGGAGGGAAGGAACATGAGCTGACCTGCCAGCCGGCGCTTCCCCAAGCCGCACTCTCAGGCAGCTCCAGGGCGGGGAGGGCTCGAGAGGGTGGGAAAGGGGGCTGCAGGGCAGGCAGTACAAAGGGAGGCGGGGGTGCTGCATCCTATCTTGCCAGCAGGGCTGCCTGGCTGCTCCTGTGTGGCCGCAGCACTCTTCTGACCTGCATTCGCAGCCAGCCTGCTGGAGCTGGGGTTTGCAAGTCCCTTGGGGCTGCTCACGCTGGAGTTGAGGGGGGAAAGCAGCAAGCGACAGGGGGAGAGGAGTGTGAGGGGCGGGCCTAAGGGAAGAGGCGGGGCAGGGCCTCAGGGGCAAGAGGTGAGGCAGGGACATCCAGTTTTCAGACATTAGAAAGTTGGCCACTCTATGTTATCATCAGAGCAGTTAGACTAGGGCGTTATGGATAAACGTTAGGACAATGTTGCAAGGCTTAGCTGTGCGCCTCTTATTGATGGGTATTATATTGCTAGATCTCCCGACTGCTATAGGCAGACAAGTTGGACTCCTTTGGCTGAAAGGCTGCCCTGGACAGCTTTGTCAGCGGTGATCTGGGGTGAGCTTTGCGATACCATCTTACCGCTTTTTCAGGCTAGCCCATTTGTTCTCCAGTATGAAAACCGGTTGTTCCCAATTTCCCTCAGAGGCTTTTTGGCCTGAAAATAATATTTGGTTGAACAATTCTTCCTCTAAAAAACAGAAAGGCGTATTCAAGCAGGTAATTTTTCCCCTTAAGAGTAGAGCTGGTTGAAAAACAGGATGTAATTTCTTTGAAAACTGTTGCTGAAATTATCAGATCTTTTCTCCCATTGAAATTTTTAGCAATTTTTATGAAGATATTTGCCAAAGTTGCAAGTTTTGTCAGAGTCTTGGCGAGCTCTACCTAAAAACTGATGCTGTGGGTTGGTTTTTTGCTTCGTTAGGGGGAAGCAGTGTGGCCTAGTAAATAAATCACGTGGTTGGAACTCAGGACACCTGGGTGCTATTCCCAGCTTTGCCACTGACCTGCTGGGTGACCCTTTGGGCAAGTCCCTTTGTGCCTCAGTTTCCCATATGTAAAATGGGGATCAGGATCCTGCTTTCGTTTTGCAAAGCTGTTTTGAGATCTGCTGATGAAAAGTGCTAGAGAAGGAGCTAGGGATTATTATAATTCACATTTTCTAGTCATTTCCAGAAAAGCTATTTTGTAGTAAATGTGTGGTTTTTCTCTTTTAGGTTTAAATCTGTCCTTTTTCAATAAACTGTCACACTGATCCGAGTATTGTTTTGAAGTCAGTAAGCCAGCGTGGCTGTATATGAAAGCGGAATTTGGCCCTACTTGCCCATGGTAACGCACTGTGTTCATTGCTTGTGGCTACATATATCCGATTCATGTTTTATCATTTAATGTAAAATGAAGGACAGTCACTAATGACGATATGCATTGACGGAATTGAGGAAGAGGAGGGAAAGCACAGTATTGATTAAAACTAGCTTTCAACATGTAAGCCTCAGCTTTAACGCTCCTCGAGTCAGATTGCACATTTGTTGCCCACCCCTAGACTCCCACTGAGTGCAACTGGTCTTTAGGATGTGCAAAAAACCCAGACATGTCCACTTCTTGTAAATGTAGCTTGGAAATTGGCCTGTATGTTAACTGCATGTTTGCTTGTTCAAACACCAATGCACGCTGTTGTTTAGCGGATGAGCAAGGTTTTCTGCTGAATCAACCTGCAGTTTTGTAATCTGTTTAAAACCTTCAAGGGGGGGGGAATCTAACTCCCTTCCCCTCACCCTAAAATAAGCAACATTTGCAGCTTTTCCCCTTGGTATCACTGATCAAAGGTATGTGACAAGTCAGAGTGACCGTTTCCGACTGCCACTGGAACACTCCAAGAGCTACAAAAGAAGAAGAGGATCACAAAGACGAGCAGCTATTCCACTCCAAGGCTTCATTTGCTCCTAAAGCACTGAGCCATTCATGTGAGTAAAGCCCTTTTCAGGGGCATAGGAAACTACAGGCTACGTCTTCACTACCCGCCGATCCGGCGGGTAGCAATCGGTTTATCGGGGATCGACTTACCGCGTCTCGTGAGGACGCGGTAAAATCGATCCCTGATCGCTCTGCCGTCGACTCCGGAAATCCACCTCGACAAGAGGCGGCAGCGGAGTCGGCGGCAGCGGTCGGCTTTCCCCCGTCCTCACCACCAGGTAAGCCGACCTAAAATACGCAACTTCAGCTACGGTATTCACGTAGCTGAAGTTGCGTATCTTAGGTCGGAACACCGCTGTAGTGTAGACCTAGCCACAGGCAGCTTATACAATAAATGGAACAGGCTGGGCTATTTATTACAGCTAAATGGAGCATGGAGTAGAACTCCGTTTCCTCTTCTTGCTAAATGAAAAAAACGTGGCGGTGAAGAGGCTGGAGTGGGGAAATGATGATAGGCACAGCGATGTTCCGTGCAAAAAAGGGGACAGAGACAGAAGGATCTGGTCTCTCTCCGCCCAGGCACGTAACTCAGGAGCATTGATAGCTTTAAATGTGCACTTCCAGAGCCACATCTGGTTACACCGGTGCAACCCGCAATGGAATCAACCTGCTGCCTTTCTGGATCTGAGAGCAGAACGTGGCCCACAATGTGGCATGGGATAGGAATAGTTAGGTGCCAGCCAGCCATAAAATGGTACCAGGAAAACACCTTAAAAGACAGATCCTAGACTCTGGGCAGGTCTACACTAGAGCCAGGGTCGACACTCTGAGATCGATTCACCAGCGGTCGATTTAGCGGGTCTAGTAAAGACCTACCAAATCGACTGCAGACCACTCTCCAGTCGATCCCTGTACTCTACCCCCGACGAGAAGCGTAAAGTAAGTCGATGGGAGATTTTCTCCCGTCGATCCCCCGCGGTGTAGACCCCGCAGTAACTCGACCTTAGGTACGTCAACTCCAGCTACGTTATTCATTTAGGTCGTAGCTTAGGTCGACTTACTGTGGTAGTGTAGACAGAGCCAAAGTTATAGCTCCTTTCACTACTCTGGCAATGCAAAGGGGCTGCAAAACCAACGTAGCCAGCCTCCTGGGGATTCTCGCTGCAGTGGTGGACTCTCTGGTCTGTGTGGATCTGGTATATCTATTCCAAGCCACACCGTTCTTGGCCCCTAGCATGGGGCTTGTGGGTGGGAGGAGTGGGTGTGGCTGGAGTGCCCCTGTGCGGCTGTACTGATCCTTGGTTTTACAGGCAGTCGGAGTTGCTTTATTGATTGCATACAGTGTGCTCTCTCTGCCCTCTCACTGTCCATCTGAGCATCTAGTCCAGCTCTGCAGAAGATTAGTATTGCACTGTATGGGAGCCACCATTTATGAGACCCATCTGCCTGAACCATTCCGTTTCAAAGGTGACTCAGGTTGCAGAGTCTCAGCCATGGAACAGATCATACGAGTTGCTGGGAATGGTTTAAAATCTCTTTGTTACCTGATTTCCAGAGTGGTTTATATTCTCCTGGGAGGAGGCTCTGTTTCGGCGTTTCACGTGATGGGGCTGGTAGACAGGTATCTTCTGGGCTCCCTTTACGTCCTCATCCGAGGTGTCCATATCCGCTGAGTACTGGGGTCGGTGCCGCTCGGTCCATGGGCTGCCTTTGGGGACAGAACGGGTTCGAGTCACTGGAGGCTCAGGGCAGGGATTATCATCTTAGGTTTCAGGAAAAGCCCGCGGAAGGATGGGCAAGGAGAGGTGAATAAGGAAACAGCAACAATATTAGGAAAAAATCACTAAATAGCTTTACAGAACACCAGGGACCTGGTCCAAAGCCCAGGGAAATCAGTGGAAAGACTCCCACTGACTTCAGTGGACTTTATATCAGTCCCTCAGACCAGACGCTCACACACCTGCTAAATAAATCACACCACGATGCCTCATTACAAGAGCTGCCAAGCTCTTCCCTTTCCAAACTGTGGCAGTGGATACTCTAACAGCAACAGCTTATTCAAAGCAAAAGCGAACGCATCCTCCACTAGAATAACCGTGTCCTAATACCCACCACGCCAAGCTTTCAGATAGCAAAGTTAGAGGGCTTTTCACGCCAGCAAAGAGGAAGCCATGACACGCTTAGCTATAACACCCCTGAGCTCATTCAAGGAGTGTGCCAGAAATCCTGTACTTTCCGTGAACTGCATCATGTAGGCGTGGAAAGACAACTGTTTCATCGGGGCTAAAGGAAGGGTTGTTATCCAGAGGTAACATTTAAGAGCGCAGATACATCAGCGGGGCTTGAAACCCAGTTTAAAATAATTCGAGTGCCCAGAACAAACAGGACTGACATTACAATTTCTATGCCACACTGGAGGGGGCGTGGTCTAATGATCAGAGCACACAGGAACCGTCTCTTGCTACGTGTATGTACAGTACCGTTCTGTGCCTCTGCTTTCCCGTCAGTTAAACTAGGAATTGTCCCTCTGAGGGATTTTGCAAGACTTAATTAAGAGACCCTCACCCAAAAGGTGCTTTATAGGGGGAAAGTATTATCACACAGTGAAAAGCATCTTACAGGACTTCAGGGAGGAGGCTGAACTACTTAGCGGATTGACAATGGGCTAGGGAACTTTTCACTGCTATATTCACGGGTTCAAATCCAGCCCAGGTAGCTGGTGACTGAGCTCTATCTAGTAGCTACTTCCTTCATCTATGTGACATTCATTGGTGGTCTCAGCCTGGTTCCTGATGGAGACAGGTCCACATCCCAAGATCCACTTGCCCAACTGGCACCGTTGCTGGCAGGCTCAGTAACAAGACCAAGGACTGAAACCATCCCCACAGGCAACGTCTCCAGAACAAGATGTCGGGGCAGTGCAGGGAAGTGTGAATAACCACAGCCCTGGGTGGACCAAGGACTTCACCCACCAGACAGTAAAGAGTCTACATTTTCACTAGTCTTGGGAGCTGAGCTCAGAAAACCTAATCCGAAAACCAGTGAAGTCAAAGGGAATTTTCCCATTGATTTCAGTGGCTTTGGATCAGGCCTCAAACCTGAGAGAAATGAATAAAAGCCTTTCTAAATGCTTTTTAAGTCAGTTCCAGAGTGTTATTTTTATTCTATATAGTACCTCCATTTTATTTACCTCTAGCTCGGCTAATCTCAGTGGTCACAGTCACCTGGGTGTTAATAAATCCAGCCAACACATTAAAAACACACAGGAGATTATATTTTAGGACGACCCATGTTTAAGCAATGCACCATGCACATTTTGCTTTGTTACCCCGGTAGGAGAAAGCACATTAGTGACAGAAGAATTTGTTTTCTGTAATCTCATTCGCTAGAGTACTTATAGTATCCATAAACTCCTGATCCCCTCAGGAGAGGGTTTGATTGCACAGGGCTCCAGAGCCAGGGAAATCTCCCCCAACAGGTTTAAGCATGACAAATGAGTACATTTGGTGCACAGCTTGAAAATGAGGACAAAAGCTGTCATCATGCCATAAGCAATTGAGCCACTGCTTTGCCATGGTGGCCAAATCCTCATCTGGTGTAGCTCAGCGGTGCTCCACTGACTTCATTAGAACTAGGATGATTTACACCAGATGGGGATCTGGCTGAGCAAGTTAAAATGTGGCCGCGCTCAGGCCTGAAGCAAGGCTACTTTGGCTTTCGATTTCATCTGACATGCTAAGCAAGGTAGGCCTGAGAGACCTCCTACCACAGCCCAGAGCACGTAGGGAGTGAGGCTGGTGATTCGGTAGGTGGCATTCCTTGCTTTGGAGTCAGGATGATCAGTTGCTCATGCCCGAATGACCAGCTAGCTGCATAAGCTGATTTGCATGTGCAAATCAGATGTATGGTTATGCACCTAGCTATGAAAGTCAGGCCCTCTGTGGTTTAGTAGTTTAGTTATTTTTTAAGAGCCTGGAACCATTAGCGTTCCCATTCTGTTAGAACTGCTGGCACAGATGCTTTTCCTCAAATGGGACAGGACGACATTGGTCAGTGTAGCCTACCGGGTTTGGGATTCCTTTCCAGGCTCTTCCTTCGTGAGTTCACTGTCAGCCGGACCTCGGTGCTAAATTCCTGCTCTGGAGGGGTCATATGTTGTCCCTGCTCCTGAAGGATCTGGTGGAACACTGCAGCCAGGTCTGCTTCAGCGATCATTGTCTCCTTCCGGGAGGTGTCCTCACCGGCATCAGGGAAGTCCGGGAATGACTGAGAAGAGAGGACACGGGTCAGTACCTATAAATGAGCAGTGTGTTCCCTTTCCCCATAACCCACTTTCGAGCAAAATATTTGCAGGTTATTTTTTAGCCTTCCCTAAGGGATTTGTACACCCCACTGCCATTAGTCTTAATTGGAATTGGGCATCACAATCCCCTAAGCAGCCTGGAAAATCTCAGCCCATGTGTCTATGTTTTTAAAGTGTCAAGGCCTTTTACTGATTAAACAATAATGTGGCTCCCCACACCCTGGTTATATGCAGATGGTTCTTAAAGAGAGATCATTTTCTCATAGGCTACAAGCACAGTGTCCTTCACAAAGACAGGCTAGAACCATCCTATATGGTTTGCCCCAAAAGCTTTATCAAACTTATATTGGAGTTTGAAAACTCCAAGGTTTGTTTGACTTTCAAAATAAAAAATTATTGCTACATTTCTCAGCACTTCCTGGTTCTACCCAGGAGAAGGGTTTTAAGTGATGAGGTACCAGAAACAAACAAACAAAAAAAAGGCAACTTGGTATTTCTGACTTAACCAGAAGCAAGAATGGATTATCCAGTCCTGCAACTCCATGAAGTCTGGACGCTGTGAATTAAGGCTAAAATCAGCATCCAAACGTCTGTGCTCTTGTACAAATTGAACCAATCCTCCTTACTTTTGAGGTTTGCACATCACTAGCCTGTATGCAAGTCAGTTCGAAACATTTCAGGAAAACTCTGTCTGCCTTTTGGACATCAAGCAAGAGATGCTGCTTTTTTGTGCATCGAGTAGAATACATGAATCTTTTATGACAGAGACAAGGTGGTGAGGTAATATCTCTTTTGGACCAACTTCTATTGGTGGGAGATAAACCTTTAGAGCTATGCAGAGCTCTTCTTCAGGTCTGGGGAAGGAAGAAGAATCTCTTATGTTGTACATGCTACGTTGAGGTGTGACTTTCACAGTCATTGGGTTTGTTGTTCAATCTAGGCACAGTAGCACCTCAGCGTTAGGGACACCTCGGGAATGGAGGTTGTTCGTAATTCTGGAATGTTCGTAACTCTGAGCAAAACATTATGGTTGTTCTTTCAAAAGTTTACAACTGAACATTGACTTAATACAGCTTTGGAACTTTACTATGCAGAAGAAAAATGCTGCTTTCCCTTTATTTTTTTAGTAGTTTGTGTTTAAGGCAGTATTGCACTGTATTTCCTTTTTTTTGGTTGGTCTCTGCTGCTGTCTGAATGTGTACTTCCAGTTCCAAATGAGGTGTGTGGTTGCCTGGTCTGTTTGTAACAGTGGTGTTTGTAACTCTGAGGTTCTACGGTACTAACGTCTCTCAGTTTTCAATGGCTGGTAACAGCACTGATGACTGGAAGAAGTGAAGCTGGTTTTGCACTCTTCTGCACAACTGTTATGCAATAATTATGCAAAATTGTTGTTTTTCAGGTTTGGGAAATCTTCCGCTACCCATACAATTCCCTCTCTTTTTCAGAAGGTCAGTCTCCATGTGGCTTGCTGTGACTGGTCAAGGAGTTTTGCAAACAATAAGAACAGCGTTGCCTGTCAGGACTTTATGGATCAGTTTTTTTAGATGGCCTCAGCTCCTCCCCAGGGGGGCCTGCCTCAGTGTAAACACAGGAACAAAATTACAGACAAAACAGATGTGGGTTGGTTACATGCCTCTCCTGCTTAGAGAAGCACCTCAGCTCTCTTCAGGTTTCCCACAGAACAGGGAGAGAAGGGTCTTCATATTTCCCACTCCTTTCCTCAGCTGGCTTTGACAGAACCCAGTACTACAATTGTGGATACAAGGACTACAATTCCCAGCCTGCCTTGCTCTCCATCTCCAGCGAGAGCAGCTGGCTGGAACCACAAGAAGCCATCTTTATCCCTGACCATTGAGGCTAGAAATGAACTGAGCCCATGTTCATGTGGGATTGCAAAGAAACAGAGACTTATCTGATTTCTGCAGGGGCCAATTTAAAAACAAGTAATTAAACCCAGAAGAAAATGAGACCAGAGGACACGATCTTTTCCGAATCTCCTGCCATCCTAGCTCACCAGTCCTCACTCCAATTCACTATCCTCATTCTGATTCATGGCCTTCAGGAGTAAGGTCAATGTGGCAGAAAACAAAGCAAGGGGGGGAAGCTAAGCAACATCATACCCTTGGAAACTCCAAGCAGCTGAACCGCGGAAGAGAAGAAAGGAAGGGAGCAAGGAACGAGAGAACAGCAGTCCCCAACCACCTCCCCAGTACCTGGTGGCCATCCTGGTTGACCGGAGTTTGAGAAAGCTGCACAGATTGACGGCGTGATTGAGCGGAATATTCTGAGTCCAGTTCAAAATCAAAAGGATGAACAGACAGCAGGCGCTTTGTCTTGCGCATCTTAGAAAGCATAAAAAGTGCAAGAAAGCAAAATTCAGTGTAAACACAACTGGTCTTTAAAAAGGGATCTGATGACTCTTTCAGCACATAACTATCTATCTCCACCTATGTTTCTGGTTGTGTCTTTTCTTCTCTACTGGCTACAGAGCTGACATTACTGGTTTGCCTAATTGTATTTATGGATCGAATGTTGCTCTCTCTTTCTGCCATGCAGCTCCGCTGACATATCAGTGGAGCTGTCTAGGTGGTAGAGGGCAGAATGTGGATCACATTACTTCCTATTTAAAGGGTGTGTAAATGAGAATGGGAATGATATCCAATATTGGTGTGGATCAGAGGAGCAAGGTCTATTCCAGTGCGCTTTGAAGTGAATGGGAAGACTCCCTTTGAATTCAATGATCTTTCGGTCAAGACCATAGTATTCTGGGCTGTGGAGGAGAAACTCAACTGGAGGTTCATTGAGGAGTTATGGGGAAGTGAGCTTGGCTCAGATTTCACAGAGAATTCCAACAGCTGCTGTGGAATCCTCAAACAGGCGTCCCCCTTTTCAGCCAGGGAATCATTCAGAGATAGCCACAGCTAGGAGGCACTGCCACCTCCGCTCCTTAAAATGCCCCTTGCAGCTTTGCAATTAGATCAAATTTATTTGGCCTGTGTGGAATGTTACACTTCACTGTCTGATGCTTATGCCCCCTTAAGAGAGACTTTACCAAACTAAGACTATGTCAACACTTTTGTCGGTAAAACTATTGGCCGTCAGGGGTGTGAAAAAACACACCCTTGACCGCCATAAGTTTCACCGACAGAAGCGCCGGTATGAACAGCGCTACGTTGGAGGGAGATGCTTTGCTGCTGACACAGCTACTGCCGCTCGTGGGGATGGGGGAGTTTAATTATGCTGATGGGAGAGCTCTCTCCCACAGGCATAGAGTGGCTACATAGGAGACCTTACAGCTGTGCCCCCGTAAGGGCCGTAGTGTAGACATAGTTCTGGGGAAGGATAGCATGTATCTTTAATAGGTTAGATTGAAATGAAGTGACTGCATTTCCAGGAGACCAACTGAAAGAAACATTTACCTCCCCAGATAATGCCAATGATGTAACAAATGGATGTGGTAATGAAGTTGGCTAAGAGGCTGACCTATAGCATGACAAGGCAGGAAATGTGACATTTAGAATCTATTTAACAACACCTAGCTCACACGTAAGGCTTTTCATCTGAAAAGCGCTGTATAAAGGAGGGTCAATATTATTATTCTCATTTTACAAAGAGGGAAAATGAGGCACAGAGGGCCAAAGTGACCTGCAGCAGGTCACCCAGCAAGCCCAGGACTAGAACCCAGGTCTCAGTCTAGTGCTCTGCCCTCTAGGCCACACTGTTCCTTCCTATTTAGAAAAAGGTGGTTGGTGTGTGTGACGGGGTGCACTCACCCTGCACTGGACGGGGAAGGGTTAACTAACTCCTCACTGTGGGAGGAGGAAGCCACGCCCCCCTGTCCAAACTAGGCATGCTCACGGTGTAGCACCAGTATAAGAAGGAGCAGCCCAGTTCAGTCTGGTCTAGTCGCCGGAGAGGAAGGACATATGCTGCAGGCTCCAGCCCGGGAGCTGCGGAAGCCCTGGACTGTGGGAGCCGGAGACACCGAGACTCACACAGACGCCCAGGTACCTGAGGGCGCCACTTGGAGGTCAGAGCCCCTGGGCTCAGCACAACCCGAGGAGACCGGAGATCCCAAAGACGTCTAGATCAGGACTGCAGAAGTCACGGTAGGAAGTAGCCCAGGGAGGGACTAGCCATTGTTCCTACAGCAGTCAGCATAGTTCTGGCGGATCCCCGCTAAGTGGCGAGCCCACTTGCCACTACCAGGGCCCTGGGTTGAGACCCGGTGGAGCAGGGAGGGCCCAGGTCTTCCTACCCTGGCTGCCGCACCTCTGGGAGGCGGCCCAACCCTATTGACTCTGGCCACTCAATTTAACTGCCCTGGGAGTCCGGTATTGTTACTGACTCTGGCCGCTAGGCCCCACTGTCCTGGGAGTCAGGGCATTGCAAGTGACTGACTGCTAGGCCTTACAGCCCTATAGCAAGAGCCCTTAGACTTGAACCCTTAGGCCTCACTGCCTAGAGGCAGAAGGCAGCTTGAGGGATGGGGTGCACTCACCCTGCACTGGACGGCCCCCCCCCACCCCGTCAGAGTGTGTCACTCTGAGAGAACCAGGATGCTCATATTAATCAGGGGGAAAGAAACCTGGTCAAAAGGGGCTAGTAATTTTGGGAGCATCAATTTCTGGGACCTTGACACCACAAAGGGGCCTGATTTCCAGAGGGCGGGAGTCCAGCACTTTCTTTACAGCATTTACATTGGCGACATAGGCAGATAGGTTTGTATCAGAAAACCAAGGCAACGGAAACCCCTGCGGAGTGCTGCAGAGAAAGCCCCCCCACCAGCTAAGAAAGCCCAGAGCGGGGAAGAGCACAGTCCACACGGAAGCACGCGGAACGAGGCATGGCATGTCCACAGAGGTAAATGCTCACCCTAGTATAGTGCTCAGCTTCGGCGCCATCCACGAGGTCGTCTTCATCATCGCTGTCACTGCGCACCCCGCCGCTGGCACGCAGCTGGCACTCACCTGGGAGGGAGCACAAGAAAACAGTGTGCATCAAGGGCTTGGCAGCTCCAGCACCACTCAGGGGTGAGATTTCAGAGTGGCTGGCTGCAGCATCCCAGCCATCGTGTGGCTGAAGGAACACTGTCTGTTGGGTACCCTTGGGTTGCCACTTGGCTGGTTTTTAACCAGCCTGGCTGGTTTTCTTACTGCCACAGCTGCTGGTGAAAAGATTTAATTGGTTGTTTTTTCTACTTGGGACAGTTAAATATAAAAATACATTTATTGCGTTATGTTGTGTGTACATGTGTGTATGTACAATGGTTCTCTAGAACATTTCAGTAACCGTTAGCCATGGTCGGCACTGGGACCCTTTTTGTTGGTGGTGCTGGAGGGTGGGGAAGCCAATGTGTCTCGGAAATGGCAACCCGATGGGCCCATACTGGTGTTCCTCTTATAACGCCTCTTGGAGCCAGCTCTTGCTCCTATTGGAGTCATTGGCCTCAAGAGGTGCTCATAGGCCCATGCTTTGGGTGCTCATGGGCCCATTCTTTCTTAACACACTGCCTTAGTGTGTGATCATGTCTCCCTCTAGTGGCTGATCCAAGGAATATACGCTATGTCACCCTACTACAGCAAAAGGAAGTCTCCTTTAGCTCAAGAGATATAGGCCAGCGTTCCTGGAGCTGACGGGTCCCAGATGTGATGTGTCTTGATGACAGTGGTGTACGTGGCCGCGGTTCACAACCCTTATCTTCTTATAAAAACTTATATCATCTTATATCCTCTCACTAGTTGCTCTTCCTGCTGCAGACCCATCTTCCAGCTCTCTGATGTATAAGATACACCAACATGGACTCACTAGGCCAAATTCAGAGGTGATGGTTAAATTACATAACAGGAGATTGGTGTGAGTCTGAGTCTGAGAGAACCTCACTGAGTCTAAGCTAATGACTCTAAAGTGTAAATCACATCAGTTCAGTTTAGATTTGCTTATTCTTACCTCTAACTCCAGCCCAATATAGTTTTGCTCCTGATTCTCACCTGCCCCCTTATGGCAGGGACAATCAAGAGAAAATCCAGACCTCTTCATCCTTCTATATTAATGGATCACAACCCTTGATTTCCAGACCTGATACTACTGTAAGGAGTAGCTCCATTGATCTCAATGGGAGTCAACACTGCTTTTGCAAGCATAGATAATTCACAACCCCAAACAGTACCATTCCCAGAGAGCCCTTTAGCCAAACCCGAGATGGACAAAATGCCCATTCATAGGAATGGGAGAAGTTTTGATTATCTCTGGCAAGAACCCCCCAGTTATGACATTATGAAGGCCCAGATTCAGAAAGGCACTCCTGTGCTTAAAGATAGGCATGTGATTAAGAGCAGTGCTGAATCAGAGCTTAAATCTGAAAAACAGAAGTCTCAGAACAGGCATGAATTTGTTAGAGTGAAAAAGGATCAACATTATGGAGATTCCAATTTTCCAACGCCCCTCCTGATATACACTGTTCCGAAGTATACAACAACAGGCTGGGCTTACAGGAACCAAGAGGACCCAGGAAGCAGAAGATTTGGGGACCTCCATTAGTACTGCACTGAGCGATCAGACCAGCCCGCTACTACAATTTCCTTTAAACAGCATTAAAAAAAATGGACTTACTGTTGATGTCTGGCAAGCTGTAAACTCTGCCATGAAGACCTAAGTACAAAGAAAAATTGAGGGGAAAAATAAACACTTTCTACGGGTATGTTACACAAAACAACTTCCAGAACCACGCTTAGCAGGAGCTAGAGTCTGGTCTCTAGAGTTCTCAAGGCACAACCAGTAAAGCAAATTTAAAAAACTGGACCGTGAGTTTGGAGTCACAACTAGACTCAGAATCAGTGAGATTTTTCCATGTGCTCTAGAGTCACAAAGAGGCTTAGTGCAGCTAGTTCACACTTCATGTATTCGGCACCAACATGTGCACAGTGCTCTCCTGCAACGAACATGCAGTTGGTTTTGTTACCTTATTTAATAGCCTGACTGGGGAGTTGTGGGTGATCGGCACTTCTCAGTGTCAGGCCTTAGGATAACGTAAGGCAAAGGTCCTATTCCACTGGGATCCATTCATCATCTTCACGGGACTGAGTCACCTCCCAGTGGAATCCATGGAAAGACACTCACTGACTTCAATGGGATCTGGGTCACGATCCAGGACAGCAGGCATGAATGTGGCACCACGTCTGCAGATACTCCTGGGGCACATATGGGATCACTTGAGTGGCTCTGCTACTTCCTCCCAAGAGCTCAGAGAGGGCATAGTTGGATCGCTGCTCTTCTGTTCATGCCAAGTTTGCACCAGACTGCATTCCATCATCCCTTCCTGTCCAGCATGTCTATGGAGCCAGCCAGAGCAAGTAGGCATGGACTATAATATGCATGACACCCACCTAAGCCAGCTGGTTCAGGGTGCTCAGTAACTTAGCCAGCACCTAACACACAGTGGGGCACGCATGAGGGACAGCTAGAATCATAGAATAACAGGGTTGGAAGGGACCTCAGGAGGTCATCTAGTCCAACCCCCTGCTCAAAGCAGGACCAATCCCCAACTAAATCATCCCAGCCAGGGCTTTGTCAAGCCTGACCTTAAAAACCTCTAAGGAAGGAGATTCCACCACCTCCCTAGGTAACCTATTCCAGTGCTTCACCACCCTCCTAGTGAAAAAGTTTTTCCTAATATCCAAGCAGAGACTCAGCCAGGAAAAGAACAAGAATGCTTAAACCAAAGGGAAGTAACAGATGGAAGTGACCAAGAGGATATATTGCTTGACTGCGGGGTATGCTTGCCATTTATTACTAGGCTCACAGCTAGGGGGCGCCGTTGGCCAGCTGGCCAGCTAGTGGTTGCTAAGAGTGCTGGGTGACTGGGCAACAAAATGGTAGATGAAATTTAATGTTGATAAATGCAAAGTAATGCATATTGGAAAGCATAATCCCAACTATACATATAAAATGATGGGGTCTAAATTAGCTGTTACCACTTAAGAAAGAGATCTTGGAGTCATTGTGGATAGTTCTCTGAAAACATCCACTCAATGTGCAGCGGCAGTCAAAAAAGTAAACAGAATGCTGGGAATAATTAAGAAGGGGATAGAAAATAGGACAGAAAATATCATGTTGCCACTATATAAATCCATGATATGCCCACATCTTGAATACTGTGTACAGACAGGGCCGGCTCCAGGGTTTTTGCCGCCCCAAGCAGCCACCCCCCCCCTCGCAAAACAACAAACAAAAAAGCCGCGATCGCGATCTGCGGCACTTCGGCGGGAGGTCCTTCGCTCCGAGCGGGAGTGAGGGGCCCACTGCTGAATTGCCGCCGAAGAGCCGGACGTGCTGCCCCTCTCTGGTGTGGCCGCCCCAAGCACCTGCTTGGTAAGCTGGTGCCTGGAGCCGGTCCTGTGTACAGATGTAGTTGCCCCATCTCAAAAAAGATATATTGGAATAGGAAAAGGTTCAGAAAAGGGCAACAAAAATGATTAGGGGTATGGAACAACTTTCATGTGAGAAGAGATTAGTAAAACTGTGACTTTTCAGCTTGGAAAAGAGACAAGTAAGTGTGGATATGATAGAGGTCTATAAAATCATGACTGCTGTGGAGAAAGTAAATAAGGAAGTGTTATTTACTCATAAGACATGAACTAGGGGTCACCAAATGAAATTAACAGGCAATAGGTTTAAAACAAAAGGAAGTATTTCTTCACACAACACACAGTCAACCTGTGGAACTCCTTGCCCAAGGATATTGTGAAGGCCAAGACCATAACAAAGAGAACTAGATAAATTCATGGAGGATAGGTCCATCAATGGCTATTAGCCAGGATGGGCAGGAAAGTTGTCCCTAGCCTCTGTTTGCCAGAAGCTGGGAATGAGCGACAGGGGATGGATCACTTGATGATTACCTGTTCTGTTCATTCCCTCTGAAGCATCTGGCACTGGCCACTGTCGGAAGACAGGATACTGGGCTAGATTGACCTTTGGTCTGACCCAGTAGGGCAGTTCTTATGTTCTTATACCATTGTGTCCTTTTCTTTCGGCTGCTGCCCATGCCACAGTTATCGCTGTCCTTGCCACCTCCAGGCTGGGTTACAGTACCATGCTCTACACAAGGCTCTGCCTTACCACCACCGAGAAACTGCAGCTGGGGCAGAAAGTGGCTGCTTGCTTGTAAAGCGACACTCCACGGAGTGAGCCCACGACACCTGTGCCCTGATCAGTGCTGCCTGCAAAGTGATTTCACCGTGAGGCTGCAGGCGCTGGAGGCCAGCGAAGCTCGGAATGGTTTGGGCCTTGACTGAAAGACTGTGTGATGCGTGTGCAATTGCAAGGAGCCAAGGCATGAGACAGAGCTAACCAGGCCATCCACAGCTGGCTGGTGGCGGCAGAGCACTTAGGGCACAGTCCTCGGCTGTCCAATTCACTTCCCCACTGGGTCTGAGGGCTTCTGAAGCTCCTGACATGCTGCAAGGCTCATCCATTTCCCCATGTTTTTCAAGGGATGCAGGGATGGAAAGGAGGGCAGATAAATATATCGGGGTGGGTTGTATCGGACTGCATGGCCAAGCACGGCATGGGCATTTTTAGGACGACATTAACAACCAGTTAAGACCCCGATTCCCCAATATAATTAAGCAAATGCCAAACGTTAAGTTTCAATGGGGCTAAACACATGTACTTAAAGTTAAATTCCCTGCAGAATCTAGGACTCAGGTGGATGACAGGGTGCTGCACAAATCATAAATCATATTCTATCACATTGCCCGTAGTAAATGCTAGTTATTATAAGAAGATTAACTCCGTGAAGGGAGCCTTCCAATTTACCTGTATTTTTTAATTGATAAAAAATTACTAGCCCTTCTGTGATGAAAAAAGACTAAGCAAATTATTATCCTTCATTCTTATTTCAGTATTCCCTTTGTTTTGTTTTAAGCTAAACACCTCAATGCTCTTCACTCTTGCAGTATACTGTGGAGAAATGTGCAAATTAGATCCAGCAATCATTTTAATTTCATACTAAATACTATCTACACCATGGGCTTCTAATTGTATTTCTATGAACTAGTGGACTTGGGAAAAGAATAAGGATATACAGGCTTAATCAATGTACACCTATGGCATTAGTGCAAACTATTTGCTGGGACCTCACAGTGGGAAAAGAATTCCCCCACCCCTGATCTCACCATAGACCAGTGGTTCTCAAACTAGGGCCGCTGCTTGTTCAGGGAAAGCCCTTGGCGGGCCGGGCCGGTTTGTTTACCTGCCGCGTCCGCAGGTTCGGCCGATCGCGGCTCCCACTGGCCGTGGTTCGCCGCTCCAGGCCAATGGGGGCTGCGGGAAGGGCAGCCAGCACATCCCGCGGCCCGCGCCGCTTCGTGCAGCTCCCATTGGCCTGGAGCGGCGAACCGCGGCCAGTAGGAGCCGCGATCAGCCGAACCTGTGGACACGGCAGGTAAACAAACCAGCCCAGCCCGCCAGGGGCTTTCCCTGAACAAAGACCTGTTCCAAAGGCTTTGGCAACAGTGATGTCAGTCTTTAAAGCTGTCCAACGCTGCCACCTACTGGCACGTCAGTATACAAACATTTATCAGTGTGCAGAAAACAGGGGTGGAGGAGAAACCGCTGCGATAAAGGGCCAGCTCTTCAACTCGTGTAAACTGCCCTCGCTCGGCTGTCGTCAATTATTTAAAAGCAGCCGTGCTCCTTGGTTTGCTGTGTATTAGGAAGCATAAATGTTGGTTCAGGACTAACTCCTCTGCTGCTCTGGAGCAGAGCATGGCACAGAGGAGATTGGGATGGGGGGGGAGGTGAATTCAACCCTGTCCCTGCAACTGGTTGGGGGCCAAACTAGAGCGAGTCTGACTGACCTGAGGGCTGCTTTAGCTTCCATTGGCTTGAAATAAGCCCCTCGGGGTCACTACACTGACTGGGCTCGCCAAATCACAGCGCACTCCAGCCCTGCCCCCGACACATCTCTGTCTCGGGTTCAGAGGAGACCACGGGCACCAGGTTTGTATAATTTTTGGTGGTGCCCAGAACAGGTCCAAGCAGAGCTGTCCCGTCCATAGGATAGACTGGGGGAACCGCCTCAGGTCCTGCGCTTTGAGGGTCCAGTCCTTCAGAGGGACGCGGGGTCCAGGGCGGCCTGGGGGGCTAGTGGGGGGCTGGCACCACCAGCAGCGAGTGACCCGGCCCCAGCCCGCCCCGCTCCTCCCTGCCGGCGCCCGGTGTCACTTGGGGGAGTGGGAGGAAGCCGGAAAGAGGCGGGACGTGGGGGAAGGGGTGGAGTGGGGGCGGGGAGGAGAAGGGGCAGGAAGAGGTGGGGCGGGGCATAGCAGAGCGGGGCGGGCTGGGGCCGGGTCATTTGCTGCTGCTGGTGCCGGACCCCTGCTAACCCCCCAGGCCATCCCCCTGAAGTGTAGGGCCCCCCAAAGCGTGGGGCCTGGAGCGGTTGCCCCAGTCCGTCCTATGGACAGGACAGCTTTGAAAATATAAGCCCAAACATTGGTGAGGCCGGGCCCACATTCCTGAATATTGGTGGAGCACAGGCACCACGGTCCCATATAACTCGCCGCCTATGGAGGAGACAGCTATGGCAGCTGTTCCAACCTAGGAGAATTCTCAGCTGCCCTTTTAGGGCAGTTTTAGTGTCCCTGCGTGCTGCTCTGGCAGTGCAAAGAGGCTGGAATCTGGTCCTCACTTACAGGCTTAGAGATATTTTAAACAACAGTGCGAATATGGATATAAAAGCACCATATTTGTATATTTTTTGTATATAGATGCACAACATATATATACATACACAGATGTACACCACACACACACACACGTCCACATTCATCCCTGGTATCAATGGAGTTACACCAGGGATACATTTTACCTAGTCAGTTTGAGTCCCCATTTGAGACAATCCAAATTTTGAAGCTGGTGAACTGAAGCACAGAAAGATTAAAAGACTTGCCAGAGGTTACTCAGGAAATCTGTGGCAGAGCAGATAATTAACTGAATCTTTGTCTCATTTACTAACAGCAAAATTTACCAATAACTTAGCATTAATTGGTATTATATTATTAAAAGTACTATTACTAGCATGTAAGCCTCTGACTGCCAGGTACTAGGACTAGATGATATTCAATAATTGCCCTGTTCTGTGTATTGCCTCTGAAGCATCTGGCACCGGCCAGTGTTGGAAGACAGGATATTGGGCTAGATATGCCATTGGTCTGACCAGTATGGCCATTCTTATGTATCTGCATTGTATATCTTCAAAGGGTCATGTAACACCCTGGTCATCAGCGGGCGGGATTGAACCTAGGACCTCTAGAGCTAAATACATGAGCCTCTACTGCACGAGCTAAGTGCTACATGGCTCTTAGCTAAGGCTATAGAGCAGACTCATTTTCTCTCTCTCTCTAAGTGGTCTCGGTGCCACTAGATGGGACAGAACACCACACCCAGGTGTGTCTGTTACAGTTGCTCAAGCATTAGTTAAATAAGCATGCGAGGCGGATCAAAAGGAGCGCAGTCCTTTGCCGTACCTAGCAACGTTGGATTCATTTTCTGCCCATGCTGTAACCTGCCGTAGAGAGACCGCATCACTTTAGCACTTCCAAACCGCTTGAAACGGGATCTCACGTGTTCATAATACCACTCCAGGGAGCCAATCTTCACAATCCTGCTCAAAGAGAAAGAGAGAGAGAGGCAGTAAATTACAGACACGAGCCAGAGTGGTCGTGCTTTCATTGGCCAATGTCTGATCCGATCCATCCAAGTCAGTGGAAGGACTCTCGCTGACTTTAGCTTAGTGGGTGTTGGATTGGGTCCCAATGGAAGACACAGAGAGAGGCAAGATGTCGGGTTTATTTCCCTACTGTTCTACCGTCCACACACATACGTATCCTTCTTTCCACTTAGAGCCAGTAAACAATATTGGACCTGGAGCCTCAGATGTCTCTTTATGTCCCCATCTCTCTGGAGCATCCACAACATATAAGTGTAACCGCAAAAGGGATTATCACACTGGTTAAGGTGCCGTGCTTTCAGGGGGGTGGTATGTTACCTGGAGTTTCAACCTTAATTAAAAGGCCCCCTGCCTCCAGTACAAATGTGGTGGGTGTCTGGAGTTGTTTTGGCTTTTGGCCACTATTTGCTCCCCCAGCGCTAATGGTCTAACCTCTCTCTGACTTGTCATCAATGGAAACGCTGGCTGTGCGCAGCGGAAGGGTCTGACCGCCTGTTCCAGAAGACAAGATCACGAAGGGGCCCATTCTATGCTCGGGCCCAGAGCACTGACACTGCTTCCGAGAGCCCACGCCCGGGGTGACAATCCCTTCCACTCACCTGCCCCCAGACAGCAGCGCCTCCGGTTTCAGACTGTGCGCTGAGACTACAAGGAGCTTCCTTGTATAGTGCATCTCAGGCAAGGACGTCACCATCCGAGTCCCTACGCCTGGGGAGTGCAAGGTTCATTCCCTCCCTGCACCCTGGAAGAAGAGGGGCATGTTGCTCCAAATGAGGGGGAGGGGAAGAGACAGGGATGTGGCACCATCTCCTCCTGGGGCAGAGAGGTCCTGTTCAGCATCCAACTCCAGCCAGAGCCTTTAAGGCCTAACAGAGCTGTCTGTGCTGCACTCGAATGACTCCTCATCCCTTTTCTTTGCCAATATGGCAGTGACAGTTCCCGTGCCCATCTTTAGGTCAGAACGCGGCCCAGGGCTGCCCGAGGGATCATTACCCCTGTTCTCTCCCCCACAGGGGAAAAGGTGATGAGAGTGGCAGTGGGTCACTGCGAGGCTGTGCTCTCTGCTACTAGACACCCAGAAGGTGTAGCGGGGTCCCAGGAAAGTGACCTGAAAATAACAGGCACTGCCCAGCAACTACAACATCAAAACTCTTTGGAGAGGGAACTTGCCCGTGAGATCCTTTGTGGTCCTTGACCATGGCTTTACTTTGCCTAACCTTTGGGGTTACTCATAATAATAGTGCCTAGCTCCTATGGAGCATCATTCATATGTAGATTTCAAAACACTTCACAGTATTATGAACCCCATTGTACAGATGGGGAAACTGAGGCACAGAGCGATGAAGGCCAGCCAATAGGCTAGTGGCAAAGTTGGAAATAGAACCTAGATCTCCTGTCTTGCTTAGGACACGCCCCCTAGGCCACTCTGCCTCTCATCTCCAGCCCCATTCCACTGTGAAACCCCTTCGTCCGCAGGGCTGCTGCTCCCTGTCCTTCTACCTGGATAAGCGGCAAGGGTCGCAGATCCAGGCTTGCTCCTTTTTGTGGTAGCGGCTGCAGTTCTTGCAGGTGTAGAAGTGGCAGTCCAAGCACTGGCGCTTGCTGTTCACCAGGAACTTGAAGGGCTGCAGGCAGTGGACGCAGTGGGTCTCGTTGAGGTGGGACTGGTTGGACAAGAGCTCCCTCTTGGTGCCCTCTTTTTCAATCTTGCATTTCAGGTCCCTATAAAAGCCAGACACGGATGTCAGGAAACGAGGAACAGACATGGCTACGCTCCATGGGCTGAGTCTAGAAGCAGCCCTGAGGACTCTCAGCTGGGAGACCAGCTGACTCAACAGTAATCATTAAACACACCAACCCCGGCTCTGCTCTGAATTACTTTGCTGTAAATCTGGAGTGATCATCCCCTGCTATCACACAGCACTTTTCATCTGCAGAACTCAAAGTGCTTTACAAAGGGGGTCAGAATTGTTACCCTCATTTTACAGATGGGGAAACTGAGGCATACAGGGAGACAGGTGACTTACCCCAAGTCACCCAGCAGGCCAGTGGACGAGCCAGGAATAGAAAGAACCCAGGTCTCCAGAATCCCAGAGTAGTGCTCTATCCATTCGGCTATACTACCTTTCTACTGTACACCACTGAAAGCAATGGTGACCCTCTGGATTTTCATCAGTGTATCCAAGCATGGAATCTGGCCCATTAATGGATTTGTTTATCCTGTGTGACTTTGGCCAAATATAATTTCATTTAGCTCTGCATCCTTCCACATGACAAGCTCCATGACATTTATAAATCACTCTCGACTAGTATTTTCCAAGCCCCATGGCTTGTTGAAACTCTGCTCTGTTATCACTGATGAAACAAGTATTAGAAAACAGCAGAGCTGGGCCAAAGAGACAGTGTTTGGATCTGGATCCAGATTAGGTTTAGGCTAGGGCTTGGGTTCAAGGCCAAACGGGCTGTATGGTTCAGCTTTGCTGAAATCCTGCCAGGTAGCCCTGGAAGATTTTGGTTGTAAACAGTAAAAACCTCAGTAGATCAGCTGTTCTCACAAGATTTTGACTGACTCCAAAACCACAAAACAGACCTGTTGGGCTTAGGTTCCACTGTGGAATTAAAAGCCGCAGGAGCAGATGCTTAGAACTTCTATGACGCTTACACTGAGGATCTGGCCCAATAACTCTAGACCACAGCCTAAATGTGTTGATCACTATTGCCTCGTTGTTGTTTACTTGTACTCCCAGATCTGTCTCTACCATCTGTGGTCTGGTTTTATACGCAGATTGTAAGTCTTTGGGGACTTTTTGTTGGCGATCTATAGAGCACCTAGGACAATGGGGTCCTGGTTCATGAATAGGGAATCTAGGCACGATGATTATACAAATAATATACACAATAATAAATAATAAAATAATCATAATTTGTTTCTGCTTTTCAATTCTCCCCACTGCCCCTTAGGAGCTACACGAGTAGGTTATTTTCATAGGAGTTTGGCTGTGAATTGGGGTTTTGGACATCATCAGTACAGACCTGTTACCTAGAAGAAGAGGAGCTGTTTGAATACATATGTCTTCACTGGAAAGTGCTCTATTTACAATTAACATGGTAGGGAACCAAGATTTCACTATCAGTTCTTGCAGTTTTGGGGCCCATTCCACAGTCCTGCAGTACTAAAATCCATGAGACAACTACAGTTTAAAAAGGGTAGAAAGGTCTCAGAACAGCGTGTGTCAGTTAGGAAGAAAGCAACCACGTGAGCGTTCATGACAATCCCATGAACGGCTGTCTAATACAGAGCATGCTTTGAAAGCAATCTTGGCTGGAACTTTGTTAGCAGAAAGAGTCTATTGTGAGGCAAACATTTCATTTGCTTTTAGGATATGCTACCCGGTCTGGACAACGGGCACTCAACGCAGGAAGTGCTCCGTGTAGCCTGCGTTTCAAGCAGCAGTCAGGGTTGGCTAAAACACACATTCCAAATCAGCTGAGCAAGAACAGTGTCCTAATGGAGGATCTGCGGCAATACCTGAAGGATTTCTATTCGTTCTCAGCGCAGTGCGTTAGCTAGTACATACCACAGCTTGTTTGCCTTTTGGGTTATGATTAAGAAGCGTAATGTTTGATTTGTAGGAAGGGTCCTTGAAGGCTTGTTTTCCATCTAGGCAGGGCTGGAAAGCCGCCCCTTCCTGAACACAGTTAACACGGCTGTTCCACATGGACTAGAAACCTCAGTAGCTCAGCTGTTCTCACAAGATTTAGCTGCGTCCAGAGGAGCCACACTAGCTGTACACCATTGCAATGCTTTTATCAAGGGGTTAATAAATGGGTGTCAATATGACCCACTAACAGGAAGGTTAAAATGCCAGGTCAACAAAGCCAGTTCGTAAGAAAAGAAGACACCATTCGATTTCATGAACATTTTTCAACATTGGGTGGTAGTGGAACGGACGGGAAGATCCCAGGGTTGTGCCGCCCCAAGTGGCGAAGGGGGAAAAAAAAAAGAAAAGAAAAGAAAAAAAAAGCTGCGATCGGCGGCTTTTCGGCGGCAGCTCAACTGCGCTGCTTCGTTCCTCAGCGGCAATTCGGCGGCGGGCCCTTTGCTCCGAGAGAGACTGAGGGACCCATCGCCGAAGACCCGGACGTGCCGCTCCTTTCTGTTGGCCGCCCCAAGCACCTGCTTCGTTCGCTGGTGCCTGGAGCCGGCCCTGGGCCTGAGGAAGCACGCAGGGCAGGATCTGTGGGAATTCTCCCATCAGAAGCCCGTGCATAAGATTTTCCAGGAGGCTGGATACTAAGTGACACCTGGGGCCAGATTCTGACAGTGTAAATCAGCACAGCTCCATTTACTTGAATGGAGCTATGCCGGTTTATATCAGCTGTGAATCTGGCCCAGTGTGAGCCGGCTCCATGCATTTCCATTGGCGCTTCCGGCCGTGAGATGTTTACAGTAGCAATAAGTTGTTCATCACTGAGGATGACTTATACAAGTACCCCAGCAGCCACCTTTTGTCTACATAATTGAATTCCCAGTCTCGCTTGCTCATTCGGGAAAGCCCTGGCTTTCGCGGCTTCTGGGAGCAAAACGCTTTTATAAAGAAGTTGCTGTCAAGGGACCAAATCCGGCTCTCAGTTACACACTGACGTTGGTGAAGCTATGCTATTTGACGCTAGCTGGCACATCCAGGAGTAAAATCAGCGTGAGAGGCGACTCAGGCCCAACCCCTTTATATTTAGTAAACCAAATATCTCTCCACGGTGTCTCTGTTAAGCAGCACATTTACCTGTGGTTATGACACAAATCGAGGGCTCCGGCTTTACAAACAACTTTCTAAAAACTGCTTTCGGAAAGAGGGCTGGTTTTTAGCCCTTTCCAAAGGTGGTTTTTGGCAGGGACGTCGGTGCCCAAGACAGACCCTCATTCTTAATCCCAGCTGAAGAGCAGCAGGTATGTGTGTGCTCCGGTTGGCCGTTTGGGTTATGGAATGAAAGAACTCAGCAGGCTAAGCGGAATAGGAGTCTCTGGCTACGTAGCTACAAACTGTGCCCCCCAGGCAGCCCCCCTCCTGCATTCTGAGAATTGCTCTTTGGAGTAGGGATTGTCCTTTTTTATGTTTGTCCAGCACCTAGCGCAAGGGGGCCCAACCTACGTAATACCCCAATAGAAACGTTAACTAATAATGTTCGCTCTGTGCTGTGCCCGATGAACTTTCCCACTGTGTACTCGAGGATCAGAAACTTTCACTAGACCAGTTTTTCCTGTTTTCAAAGCCTGCCAGTTCCTCCCTACCCCTGCCAAGGAGATAACAGGTCTCAGCTGAACCAATTTAAAACCCAGAGGAACCACGTGGCCTTTGTTTATTCTTTTCAATAGTCGGGATCGCAGCCAGCTCTTTTGTTACTAAATTCCCTGCAGAATGAGTAAGCGAAGGTGTGGCTGGCATGGGCTGTTATGGAATTACCGGGAAAGCCTCTAGCAGATTGAGGTCCAAACCCACAGTGGCATTCCAGAAAACAGCTGGATATCCCCGTGGTGGAATACCTGTTGCAGAGGGATGGTTTGCTGGGCGGCGTAGGGCTGGCATACCACTCCCCGGTATAGAAGAACACCGAGGGGATGGCAGCTGGGAGGGCGGGGTGAGATCTAGCTATTCTGGATTGCAAATGGTTCCCTTGAGCCTGTTCCAGCCTGGGCATAAACGAGAACAGTAGCTGGGCTGCTCTAGGCTACACCAAAGAGCAAACCATTCCCTGCTGTCTTCAGACTTTCCTCAGAACACCTTTGCCCCCATCTTCCCAGGCTGTGCTTCCAGAGAGGCTCAGAATGGAGAGGGGTAACTAGTGGTGTTCCCCAAGGGTCAGTCCTAGGACCAGTCCTATTCAACTTATTCATAAATGATCTGGAGAAAGGGGTAAACAGTGAGGTGGCAAAGTTTGCAGATGATACTAAACTGCTCAAGCTAGTTAAGACCAAAGCAGACTGTGAAGAACTTTAAAAAGATCTCACAAAACTAAGTGATTGGGCAACAAAATGGCAAATGAAATGTAATGTGGATAAATGTAAAGTAATGTACATTGGAAAAAATAACCCCAACTATACATACAATATAATGGGGGCTAATTTAGCTACAACTAATCAGTTCCCTGAAGACATCCACGCAGTGTGCAGCGGCAGTTAAAAAAGCAAGCAGGATGTTAGGAATCATTCAAAAAAGGATAGAGAATAAGATGGAGAATATCTTATTGCCCTTATATAAATCCATGGTACGCCCACATCTTGAATACTGCATACAGATGTGGTCTCCTCATCTCAAAAAAAGATATACTGGCATTAGAAAAGGTTCAGAGAAGGGCAACTAAAATGATTAGGGGTTTGGAACGGGTCCCATATGAGGAGAGATTAAAGAGGCTAGGACTTTTCAGCTTAGAAAAGAGGAGACTAAGGGGGGATATGATAGAGGTATATAAAATCATGAGTGGTGTGGAGAAAGTGAATAAGAAAGTTATTTACTTGTTCCCATAATATAAGAACTAGGGGCCACCAAATTAAATTAGTAGGCAGCTGGTTTAAATAAAAGGAAGTGGAACTTCTTGCCTAAGGAGGTTGTGAAGGCTAGGACTATAACAGGGTTTAAAAGAGAACTAGATAAATTCATGGAGGTTAAGTCCATTAATGGCTATTAGCCAGGATGGGTAAGGCATGGTGTCCCTAACCTAAACAA